ACCTTCTGCATCCTACACACCTCCGGCTCGACCGGTATCCCCAAGCCCGTCTTCGTTCCCTATGGTAGCCTGGCCAGCAATGACGCCCATCAGCTCATTCCCTCTCTCGGAGGGAAGCCCACCCTGATGAACTACCTGAAAGGGAAACGGTTCTTCCTAGCCTTGCCAGTGTTCCATGCCGCTTGCTTGACATTCGTTCTAGCATTCAACATATTCTCCGGCGTGACTGTTGTCCTCCCGCCCCCTGGACCACTTACCTCCGACGTTGCCAACGAAGTCATCACTTCCGCCAATCTCGACGGTGCGCTACTGGCACCATCACTGATCGTGGACCTTTACAACAACCCCATCCATCGCCAAAACCTCATTAAGCACCTCAACCTCCTCTCCTATGTCGGCGGCTCCCTCCCCAAAGCCGTCGGAGACGCCCTCTCAACCCAAGTCAAATGCATGTCCATCATGGGCACATGCGAGACCCTACTCTTCCCGCTCGAGATGAACGACGACCCAGCAGACTGGGAATACGTAACCGTGAGCCCCTTCTTTGGGCACGAATTCCAATCCAACCGTGACGGTCTATCCGAGCTAGTCCTCCGCCGCCAACCCAACCACGAGCTCTTCCAGGGTGCTTTCTACACCTTCCCAGACAAGCAAGAGTACCGCTTCGGAGACCTTTTCGCGCAACACCCACATCGCCCGGAGTCCTGGGTATTCCGGGCGCGGACAGACGATATCATCGCTTTCACCACTGCCGAGAAGCTGAATCCCATCACAATGGAGAGCGTGATTGTAGCCAGCCCCAAGGTGAAATCCGCCGTTATCGGCGGTCAAGGCCAATTCCAGGCCTCGGTGTTGATTGAGCCATACGACTATCCAGCCTCACCCGCGGAAGAGGAACAATACATCCAAGAGATATGGCCGTATATCACCAAAGCGAATCGCGGATGTCCCGCTCACGGCCGCATCATGAAAGGCTTCGTCATGCTCACTTCCCCGGATAAGCCGCTTCCGCGCGCCGGTAAGGATACCGTTCAGCGTCATGCGGTTTTCAAGCTCTACGCTGCGGAATGGCAGGCTCTGTATGATAGGATGCGTCCTCATGTCGCTGCCCCTGTCCCTACCTCTTCTTCTACTACTACTACTACTACTTCGTCATCTCCCTCGCTCTCACCCTCTACCCCTCATCTCCGTCCCGACTCCCCCACCACCACAAATAAATCAGCATCAGCCCTAACCACCGAAATCGAAGAAGCCCTCCACCAACTCCTCCCTAAAGCCGTCGAGACAGCCGTCGAAAAAGCCATGCAGGGGGTTCTCACTCGTCTTCTGACAGGTCTCACTACTGGTTCTGCTACGACTGCGCCTGCTCTATCCCCTCCTACATCCCCCTCCTCCTCCTCCGCCTCTCCTAACACAAACTCCAATATCCATATCCCCAAACACGACCTTAAAACCTTCATCCACGCCCACCTCGCAGAAACATTAGATCAGCAGCAAGCCTGGACCGACGACTCGGATCTATTCCAGTTTGGTCTCGATTCGCTCAAGGTCATCGAGCTGATTGCGGAGGTGAATAGGTTTCGGAAACAGCGGGATCCGAATGCTGCCCCGGTGGATCAGAAGCTTATTTATGCGAATCCGTCGGTGAATCAGATGGTTGGGGTTATGAGTGGGTAGATCTTCTGTTTTTTTATCCTATAGTTGATGTCTGCGTCATGGTCATGTTGCTTTTGTAAATCGTTATGTATATCTCTGTTGGAATCTTTCAAGTACATATGTTTAAACTTGGTTTGAGAGTTTTTTGCTGCTTTGGCTGTGAGATGAAATCAACATTTATGTTCCCACGAGCCGCTCTCGAAGCCAATTGAATATTGTCTTAGCTACACCGTTTGCGCTGTAATCCTCGTCTAGAATGATTTTCCATCGTTGCACAGTGATTGGTTGGTCATTACCAGTAATTCTACCGAAACTTGAAGACAGTGATCCGGGAAGAGTTAATATCTTTCGGGATTATCTCTGGGGGTCAAGTCGCAAGATGATGAAAAATAGTCGATTTAAAATACCAGACTCCTAGAGATCAGTGAGCAGTAGAAAACATCAGCTTCACAAGATAAAAGTAGGGTATCTGAGTGTGACTTATCAGGGTTCAGGCGGGGAGGGTGAGCGTTCAGGCGAAGGAGGATGATGCACCGTTAGCTTTGTTCTAAAGCGTTAGATGCTCAATCTAGTAAGCCAAAAGGAATCAAACGTGTGTCTGTATTCTCTAGGAAGAAGAAGATGAAGATGGAGCTAAATACATGCAATCATCAGAAAGAATGTAGTGTGGTCTGCTTCTTCATCCCCGAAGGGGAAGGTGCCCGTTGCAGATGAACAATCGCCGTAGGTGAACAGAGTGAAGAGAAAGCAGCACGGCCACAAAATCTGATAACTCACAGAAAAAGAAAAATTAAGATCGAAAACATACAACAGAAGGGATTCGCTGGTGGTCACCCACCCAACTACTAACCTCCCGGCGTGTGGCTTAAGTACGGCTGAGCGGACGGGAAGCCCTGTTTTCCACACCCTGTGGTCGTATGTACTCGTTTTACGGTGGGAGGGGGTTATATCGTTGCTGGTGATTAGTATCAAGGACAGAAGAGGCGAGAGTTGCGTGGTGTATGTTCATGATATGCAGGGCTGCACTGCAGCTATAGGTTTGGATCGGAATATGATGTTGAATCTTGCATGGCATGAAAAGGTTTATCTTCAAAGCTGCTCTAGGATGGTGTCAGTCTGCTTGGCTATTAGCATTACTTTGAGGGGTGAAGTAGGGATTTACTGCTAGTTCTACAGTGTGTACTATGCTTTTGCTCCAGGGTGTACAGCCAATGGTTTTTATATTATAAATGCACGACTGTATGACGGCAGAATAAAAGAAGATTAGCAATTATCTGAAGTGTACAGAGCGCACCACAGCTCTTCAAACTTTCTTTCAATCAAGAGAAAGGAAGGCAAGCCCTTTACTGGTCGCAAGAAGCGCCAGAGGGAACGTTCTCGCAATCGCTGCTGGTCTCACCGCCGGTGATGTCAATGCCGGACATGGTCCAGTCAGAGCAGCTGCCGTCACCGCAAAGGATGTAGATCTCGACAGCATCAGAGTCAACCGAGCCAGTGATGTCCTCGAGGGTAACATCGGAGACGGTAACACCGTTGGAGGGGGTACCGGTCGGGTCACCGTTCTCGTAGTCCTGCTCGATGACGATACCGTAGTCGGAGATGCCGGAGAGCTGGATGTTGGAGTAGGTGATATCCTCGACGGTACCGGTAGCGTCGTAGACAGTCTTGATGCGAACACCGTTCTCGGAGTCAGAGACAGTGGAGTCGATGAAGGTGACGTTCTTGACGGTGTTGTCGTCGCGGCCACCAACGGAGCCGATGGACAGACCGTGACCGCCGGAGCAGGTACCGCCAGAGAAGTAGATGTTCTCGCCGGAGTTGATGGCGACGCAGTCGTCCTGGTTCTTGACGGTGGCACCGGTGATGGTGATGTAGGTACTCTCGCTGATGTCGAAACCGTCGGTGTTGTGACCGCCCTCGGAGTCACCGTCGCTGTTGTCGATGGTGACGTCCTCGATCACGAGGTTGTCCGACTCAACGGAGATGGCCTGGACAGGGGTGTTCTTGATGTAGAGACCGGAGATCTTGGAGTCATCGAGGTCGTGGGCGTAGAAGAACTTGGGCTTGGTCTTGCCGCCGTTGGTTCCCTCACCGTCCCACCACTTAGCACCGTTGCCGTCGAGGACGGCGTCGGAGGACTGGGTAACGGTGATGTCCTTACCGGAGATATAGAGGAGGGGTCCGTCCCACTCCTCGTACTCCCAGGTGGTGGTTCCCTCAAAGGTGACCTGAAGTCGCTGTTAGAACGGGGCTGACGCTAGGGCCGGGAGAGGCTTACGGTGGTGCCATCGTTGAGGTCCTTCAGGTTAAGGGTCTCACCAGCAGGGACGGTGATGTCCTTGAGGACGATGTCGGAGCAGGAGGTCTTGCTCTCGGAGGCGGTGGCAGCATCAGTGAAGGTGCAGGTGGACCGCTTGTTGAAGTCGGTGGCGCGGGAAGGCGCAGGAGCAGCCAGAGCGGCACCGGCCAGGGTCGCGAGGCAGAACAAAGGCTTGGCAGAAGGCATGGTTGCGAGTTGGATAGTTATCTGATCAACAGAGTAAATGAAAGACTGGGCAGTTCTGATCTACAGAACAAAGACGAGTGAAAACGAGAGAAGGAATGAATGATTGGCTTGCGCTGAAGAACAAAGGAACCTGCAAATCCGGCGATGAGCTGGGTCTTATATACCCTGGAAGCAAGCCTCCTTCATTGCGACTTATCCAATATCGATACATGCATTAGACCTAGCTGGGTCAGGCAAAACTTCGGTAACACGCCGTGAGAGAAGCTCTCATAACGCGAAGGATTGGTCTAATGCTGCCTGCATGGGTTGTGAATGGGTGGCACCCGGGAGCCATCAATCTCTAACAGCCCATCAAGGCTAGAAGGGCACTAAATAAATGGGTTGACGCGGCATTTCTTAATCGGACTTGGCTTTAAACGTGGGCCCGAGCCTATCGCGGAGCGTCCCGATAACATCGCACAGAGCAAATCTGATTATGCTTCAGCCACCCGTCTCAGAGACATCAAGCCCCTTTTCGGCAGTTGATATTCTTACAGTTGCTGATCTTCGGATTTTCTCGCGGGAGATTTTCATCTCCTTCCCTTGTATGACAGAAACACATGGCTTAACCTATGATTAACTCTGTTGCACGTACGAACCAGGGGCCCATGGTCCGCGATCCGATTGTGCCGATGAGATGAGGTCCACTCCACCCAAAGGAGTTAACGAGGCCGAGTCACACCGTTCGGGATCTTCGCACCATAGGGAGCGCATACGGAGGATTGAAACACCACCAATCTCAGTGCCCCTTTCTGGCGTCAAGAATACGGAGAACGGCGGAGACTAGTCCCAGAATTCCTCAAATTTTCCAAACGAAGTTCATATTAGCAGCGTGCATAGCGATGTTAAAATGCTGATCAATTCCCATTACGTTGGTATGGGGCATGCCATTCCCCACCCGGCGTCGCCAGTCGGCATCATCAGGGGTTTTGGGCAATTAAGTCAAGCTCATCTCGGCAAATCCAGAGGCAGGAGGAATGCAGGTGTCCAGGTTGCAGGGTCCGGCGTTACAGAGCCAACCGGGGAGTGTATTAGCGCCCACATTGAGAGCGGCATGACGAAGACAACGGCCATACAACTGAGGAACGGAGAAACGGAGCACAAGCTTTCCCTTTCTTCTAGAGATGCCTGAAAGCTTGGGTCTATATTAGTTGGTAGTCCCAGCTAAGCCCACATTAAAGAACAAGCTTGATCCATATGCCCCTTTCAGGTCTGGACTAAGCCTAGACCTTGGCCGAAGCAATATTGGCATGCCATCCGTAAGTACGGCCTCGTAACGAGCACTGCTCTCAAGCAAGGCATGCAGGTCCTATAGTGCTTCAGGATTATAGCAGGTACCACTGTCAATCTGCATCAGAAATGGATTTGTTTGGTAAATCGCAAGTATTCCAGAGTGGCCGGTTGTAATAGCCTCCAATTAGAAAGCAGCTTGTAGTAATTGCTCAAACGGCATCCCGAGTCATTGGAATATTTTCTATCGTCTAATCGCCCCATCGCTGTAGGGCTTTCGGCATCCGCGTAAAATTCGGAACCCTTCAGCAGGAAAGGGCCCTTTCTGCCCCGTAGGATGGGTTGGCGCAATCCGGCACAACGTATATCCATCGTCATGCCTGGTGGGTTCGGGATAGAAGCCAGTCCCTTTGCGAAGTGGATCAGAGAGGACTTGAAGTGAAGTAGCGGGGCCAGGCTGTTGTGGACAGCCCTAATCATATCCGCAGGGCTCCTATAGGCTCCTGGACGAGCTATACAGTGCTTGTATGCACGCTTGTCTATATGATGAAGCTTGTCGCAAATATGAGGGGCATAGCAGCTGCCCCTTTGTGTCCAGTGGGTCTTTGGGAGGCATTCAAGGGACATCACGAAGCTGCCTTCTGCCTTAGTTGAAATATAGATGACTTTCAGGTTCTGAAAGTCTGTAAATAACAGCGTATTAGTTTTGTTGGTTGTCTTTTTGTCGAAGCATCTGTGAGACCCAAAGAAGAAAGTGGTCATGTGACGGACAGGGGTCATCGGTGCTCTTTGTCTCTTCTGCATACATCCTTCTACCTCGTCATATCCCTTCCTCTTTTCACTGTATTTTCTTCTCATCTGGGCAGATAAAGACAAAGTTTTGCACTACCAATGTGAGCCGAACGTCTCCACCATAATCTCTAAGACCGTTTCACTCTGTTACAGTGCGAAATTCCAATGCCAAATCGTCATCCTTTCAGCAATTTGACTTACTACATTGCAATATACACCTCACTTAGGATACAGTAATACTAGTTCTATGTGCAAACCAAAATAGCCAACTCAGTAGCTGGAGCAGCCCGAAGAGATGTGTACAGCAGAAACATTGATGCCCAGGCCAGCATAACTTTGACAGAATACCATGAAACAAACTGAATGATTCCCTCTCGGCTCCTCTTACCCACCACCGTGATGGTTATCGCATCCTAGTGCACAGTGTTTGTAATAGTAGTTACGGCTCATGCAGTTAACTACAAGTGACTAAACTAGCCCAGTCATAAATATAGGAAAACTAACCACCGCCGCCACAGGATTCACTCACCCGAGAACACATTAGTTCCCAACTTAAACCTTCTCAGTCTTCTCCTCAATATCCCCCTTCAACCCTTCTTCAAGCTTTACCTCCTTCTGCAGCGTCGCCGCATCAGCATCCTGCGCCCCCGCAACAGCCGTCTCAAAGCGACGGCCGCGCTTCTCAGGCCCAAACGCAGTGGTGACGGCAATACCCGTCGCAATTATAGCCGTAGCGACACCCATAACGGGTCCGTACGCGGGAGCAGGCTTCCCCGATGAAGAAGTCACGAAGGTCTTTTCGGCAATTGCGTTGACGATCTGTGCGGAAGGAGAGGAAATCATGTTCCCGACTTGGTAGGTTATTCCTATGAGGGTTTAAGATGTGTTAGCATCTCCAATTAGATTAGTGGAATAAGTCTGCCGCTATAGATAGGAAAGTGATGGAGACAGCGAAACGAACCAGGAAAAGAAGACCGGAAAGCAGGAGGCGACAGCTCGTTGAGATGGATCGGGATCACGCCCCATGCGCCCTGGATGAAGAATTGGATAAAGAAGCCCGTCACGCTGAGGGCGCGCTCGCCTTCAGGTAGGATCCAGGCCGGGATCAAAATGCCCGATATTATGGCGGAGACGATGATGGCGCGACGGCGACCGAAGAACTGTGAGAGATAGCCGATAATGGTGCCACCGACGCAGGCGCCAGTTTTCATGAGGATAGAGGCACGGGAGGCGGCGGCATTGTTCAGGTCTTTTTGTGTGAGCATGAAGGTTGTGTAGGAGTCTTGCGAGGTGTGTGAGTAGTAGTTGAACTGTTAGGGGGATGGGGGGGGTGAGGTGTTAGCTTTGTTGATTTAGGCATTGGGGCTAGGGGCATACCCAGGTCATGAGGATGACGCAGTAGACGCACATCTTCCATTCTTGGGCAAGCATTTGTTTGGTTTCACGCCAGAAGGCTCCAGGGTCGGAGGAGACTCTCCCTGCCTTTTTGGCTTCGATGAATTGCTTCGATTCGGGGAAAAAGATGCGGATGACGCCGACGCCGAGGGAGATGCCAGCTGGGGGTGGTTAGAGTCTCTCATGAAGTTAGGTTTTATCGATATCTAACTAACCTGCAATCCAGAAGACCGTCTTCCAGCTATCTGTCGCGCCGCCCACGCCGAGATTGGCACATGCTGCTAGGACGTATCCGAGGGAGTATCCTTGCTGTAGAATGCCGGACATGAGACCGCGAGCGCTTACGCTAGAGGTTGTTAGTGAGGTGAGTAGGATATGTTCTCAGTGTATCACACTTACGGGCAATGTTCCAAAGCCATGGCGATTGCGTTACCATACACACCTCCCATGAACAAACCGAAGAGGCTGCGAACTGCCAGGAATTGCTGAAAAGTGTGGCTGTAGATAGTGGCGATCTGGAGCACGCCGAGAACAATCATATTGAGGACCATTGGCCACTTGCGTCCAAACTTATCACCGGCAAGACCAAAGAACGCAGCTCCCACGCTTCTCAAGAGCAAAGTGAGGGTAATGGCTGTGGTCACATCTGTTTTGGAGCGGCCATAGTACTTGGAGAGCTTCACAGTCTGGATTGACAAAGCATGAAAGTCAAAGGCATCCGCAGTCCATGCAATGAGACCAACGATGAAAAGCAGCCAATCCCGGGCACTCAGCTGCAGCATCATACTGATGGGATTCTGAAGACGATCCGGGGCTTGCCATTCTGTGTGAGTCTCACCATGCTCGTTGGTCACCACAACTCGCTGCTTCCATTTGAACAGATCCCCCCATGCCTGTTTGGCAGTAGCCAGGATACCATCGGCAAGGGGTTCTGCTGGTTCATTTGCAGTGCTCATTGTTGCTTGCTTGAGGCTTTACTGCTTTAGATTGTTGTGAGGAAGATGGAAGATGCATACGTTGATGCATGCGCTCTTCAATGCATCCACCCCCCTCTCTTTATAACTCTGCTGCATTCACTTTCGCCGTGTCAAGTGAATTCCCACCCAGCACCCCACATCATGCGGTGGGATCAATCTCCGCATATTCCCCAGATTTTCGTCTGTTCTTCCCCGCGAGCAATCTTGGGATTGGGCGGGCCAAGGTTGCGCCAAGCAGTTGGGCGGCATGCTCTCGTCCATGCGCCAGCAAATGTGCCAGCCACGCGACATGGGGTCCGCTCAACATCACTAGCAGTTCCGACCCTATCGTGAGATGTTGGGAGTGAAGGGGAAGGTTTATGCCAAGGCCAAGAGAGAGGGGTTTGTCCTACTGCCATTAACAGTGGCGGTGATGGCGGTCCTGTGGCACCAGTGCAGGCAAGGGTCTTCTCGGTGAAGTTGGCCATGCGGGCTGGGCAGGCGATTGTTTAGAGCTGTTCCTCTATCTGAGCAGACATGGCTAGGGGAAGTCCTGGAAATATTTTTCGCCTTTCGTGAGGATACTAGATGAGGCAGCTTCAATGGCTAGAGCAGACGCGTTGCTGGCCGGATATCTAATGCGGACCTGTGTCACAGTGAGTCAATTTCAGTCTTTTACCAGGGAACTATTACTGCACCAATTTCGAGTAATCTAACCTATCGGCAACAGCGACACCCTTGGCAAACCTTCAAGCGCACGAGCAGGGAGGCGCGAATCATGCTCCGTGGGGGTTATATGCTGGGACATATATCCCTCCGTCCGCTATCCAGACAGACACAATATATCGTTCCCTTTTGGTCTAACTGTTAGCGCTTTGACATTGTACAACCCAAATATCCGTTTTGGCGAATCATTTGCGCAAGTAGGTTGCGAAAGGTGAGAAGCAAGAATGAGTCCGGGAAAAATCGGAATGGCAGAACAAAGAAACAGAGCAGATCGCCTTCTCCTTTGCAAGTAGAACTTGATTGATACCATCATCTTTGCTCTTGATTTGATCATATTCTGCCATCTTTGGACAGAAACATCTGGGGAGAAAAGGCCACTATGAATGGCCTTCCTTCTTTCCATACTCAGCTTCCGTTATAGATTGACTTTTGGCTGGTTAATTCTCATAGATCATAACGGTCATTGTTTTTCTTCCATTATCCTTTGACCTAACATCAATATCATCCTCAGCCTACACCTCTTTTTATTGAATTTTCTGAAGAATTCAGCACACAGTCTTTACCGAAATATGGTGTTGATTGCCTTAATAGCAATGTCTCTAACCATTGCCATCTCACTTTCCTCCACGGTGATGAATGGAGAGCGATCTGGCAGCCAGCGTGGTTCTGGGACTGGCGAGAGAGCCTAAAGAGGTACCCTAGAGGCCCTCTCGAGGGATAGTCTTCTTAGAAGAGAGATCCTCTTCGAGCAGAGATTAGCCTCACCTTCCTGCGCAGGCTGATCTGGGGTTCTCCTCTCGCCGAGCCCCCCCACCCCGGCGATGGCGAACGTGTCGCTTGTGATGTTGCATGAATAGCAGAGAAGCCCCCACTGCACTGGCAATTGCCTGCTCAACAACAATCTCAGATTTCTATGACCTAGGGTGCTGGCGGTGACTGCCAAGGTCAGGAAGAGCCCAGCTCTTATGTTCACCCACCAACTTATCCTGAGTGTCGTTCAAATACTGCGTGCGTCTTCATCAGAAATGCCCACGCTGCACATCACTGGATTGTGTAGAGTTTGGGGCCCGAAACTCACGGTCGGGAACCTCTCTTGAGAATTTTTAAGTTAATTGATGAACTTCTCAGGTACGGTCTAAGACATTTTATCGAGCACATATGATGAAGCCGACTATTTGTCGAGTTGATGCCGGCAAAACAGTCAGAATCCCGTTCCTGAGTCCTGCAAGGGTTGAAACCAGCCCTAGTTGTAATAAATGCGTTAGAGTTGATCAAACTATGGACCGTGCGTCAGTGGCTGGAGGGGAAGAGAGTGTCAAGTTGAGCAAATCAAGGAGGTCAGTATGAGCGATTATTGTCGTCCATAACTTGGGTCTTTGCCATCTGCAGTGCAACTCCTCTTGCTGTCTCGGAAATGGGCACTGCCCCAAGCAAACATGTTTCTTCCCGATTAATTGGCAATAAATGGTGGGTCGTCATCCCGTATATATCTTTTTTGTGTTCCCAGTGACGATACTGACATATTCACCGGTCGATCAGTCAAGCCAGCCCAACTCACTCTTGTGATGCAGCTCATTGAGGCATTTGTCGGCTTCCAATAGCCACTCTCCTTTCAACACGCAAGGAGCCGATCTCGGACTATTTATTTCAATCAACAATCGAGACTCTGCCGACCAGACCATTTTGTTTTCCTTCTCAGCCATTTTAACTCAAGAGCTACCCCGACCGACTGAGGCATCTCACGCATGCCCCCACGCGAGTCCGTGGTCGACAATCCCAAGTCACCCCTACGCCGCTGTCACCACTACATTTACATCATCTCCTGGGCTCTACTATCGTCGCTTATTCTCTACTGCGCCGGAGGAATATCTTACGTCGATGCCTTGCTTCTCGCCTCCGGCGCAGCTACACAGACCGGCCTCAACACGCTAGATCTCAATCGCCTCCATGTGGTTCAACAGGTCACCTTGTTGGTGGTGTCAATGGTCACCAATGTCATCTTTGTCCACTCGCTGCTCGTAGTGATCCGTCTGTATTGGTTCCGGAAACGCTTTAAGAGAGCCATCAATGAGGCAAAGATGATGTGCCGCGCACAGCGGAACACCCTGAACCAAAGGCTTGCCGACGTGGAGAACGGGCCTTCTCGATCATTCTCGCGCGAAAGACCATCGGAGGACACGCCGTTACTTTCGACAGTCACCGAGGAGAGCTTGACTGCCTCGCCGAGCGAGTCGCCAGGGGGCAGGAAGTATGGCGCAACCGGCTCCATGAGCCCGCACATCACCTTTTGTGAGACGGACGCCGAGCACGAAGTAAAGCAACATCGACGGACATACTCTGGTACCTGGTCGCGTCGCTCCTTTCCTGAGATCGATAGTCCACAGCGGCGGCGATCGTTCTCCGAGATGCAGAATGACATGCCGCCGCTGCCATCGTTGATGTGGCAGTCGTCGATTGCCAGTTACTCCGATTGGAATGAAGCGCAAAAAGAGGAGCTTGGAGGTATTGAGTATCGAGCCTTGAAGACGTTGTTTGTCATCCTCGTTTGCTATTATGTGGTCATTCACCTGCTGGGAGCTTTGCTCTTTCTGGTATGGATCCTACCTAATAAGCACTATGGTCAGATCCTTGCAGACAATGGCCTCAGCCGGCCTTGGTGGGCTATTTTCACAGCCGGCTCAGCCTTCAATGATCTGGGATTCACGCTGACCCCAAACTCAATGGGGTCGTTCAATACTGCAGTGTTCCCGCTACTAGTGATGACCTTTCTCATCGTGCTGGGGAATACCGGGTTCCCATGCATGCTCCGCTTCATCATATGGACACTATCGCAGTTCACTACGTATGGCAGCCCCCTCCACGATGAGCTCCAATTTCTTCTGGATCACCCGCGACGGTGCTTCACATTGCTCTTTCCTAGCACCGAGACCTGGCGACTAGCCGCAGTCCTCCTGCTCATCAACGCTATAGACTTGATCATCTTCTACACCCTCCAAGAGGTGAGTTGACCCAGAAGAACAAAACCTCACCTGAACCAGTTTTCTCATGACCTCATCAGTTCCCCCATCCCAGCCCCATATCAGCCGGCCTCCGTCTCGTGAATGGGCTATTCCAAATCGCCTCAACCCGTACCGCCGGCTTCACCATCGCCTCATTGGGTACTCTCCACCCCGCCGTGCAAGTTTCATTCGTAGGGATGATGTACATCTCCGCATTCCCCATCGCGATCGCCATGCGTAAAACCAACGTCTATGAAGAACGCAGCCTCGGCATCTACAACGAAGAGTACGACGAGCATGACAAGCCGCACCAATCCGACTCCCTAGGCGCTCATATCCAGCGTCAGCTGGGATTCGATTTGTGGTTTGTCATGCTAGGGTTTTTCTTCGTTGCCGTCGCCGAGGGGAAACGTCTGCAGGAGAATCGAACGGACATTGCGTTCTCCCTCTTCCCAATCCTATTTGAGATTGTGTCTGCATACGGTACTGTGGGATTGTCCATGGGATACCCTGGTACGGAGACGAGTCTGTGTCGGGAATTCAATGGCTTGTCCAAAGTGATTGTCATTGCGATGCAGGTGCGTGGCCGCCATCGTGGTCTACCACATGCGCTCGATCATGCGATACTCTTGCCATGTGATTTAGTGGAGCCCGACGAGCAGGGACGGAGGCCAGAGTGGTGGTGGAAACGGTGGATCAGGAAGAAGAGCTCCGACTTGGGGAACTTGTTTACGCATGATTGACAGCTATTCAGCATGTATGAGCATAACTGCCTCCCGGTGGGCGTGTAGTGTTCTCGGCATGTATCCATTGTAGTTCAAGTATGAACTGCAGGAATGCATTGCATGTCATAACATAAGCCTTCCCTGCATAATCTCTATCGATCGGATTGAAGAATATCTCCACAATATAACACTAACAGTCTAACACTGCTGATATTGCCATGTTCCTCGGCAGCGCCGGGGATCTAATCCCCAACTCCGCTGGGTGGCAAGAGCCCACCATACATGTGAGGCGTTAACGTGCTGTGCATTACTACTACTACTTGTTCAAGCATAATATATGAAACGATACACAATTGATTATGCATGCATGCATGCATCCACTCAGTCCACTACATTTTATGTAACCAGGACCCTTAATCACATCGCCACCTATCAACCCACCTACCCACTCAGTTCCGACTGTCACGCGCAAGTAAATCCCTTAAACACCACCAACAACATCAACTGAGATGCATAGGGTGTACTACTATCGACGATAATCGCACATTATCCCCCTATCTACGGAGTAGGTATCTAGCCCACCACGCGAAAACCGGAACCAAAACGAAAAGAAAGAATGAATGAATGAATGAATGGGAATGACTCATCCAGTATCAAGCCTCAAGCCTCAATCATCACTCATCACGAGATCGCTAATCAATCACAATATCACTCAATCAGTATGTTGAAATCCATACCAAAGCCCACCCTCGGCCCGAAAGATCAACTCCGTAAAAAGTCATCTCTACTAATCAAAAATTCCCAGATCCCGGGATTATAAAACCCAAGTGAAAAATAAAACCGGCAGAAAAAAAAAAGGAAGAAAAGAATTAGGTAAAACATCCCGATCCGACTACAAGGCTGAAGAAAAAGATTTAAATAATTCCGAGTATCCGAGTGATTCATTCTTCACATGGTGATTTCTGATTGATTAGTGGATATTAGGGGATGAATTGAACCATGGGTCAGATCACGGGGTTGGTGGTTTTGGTTTTCCGGTTCCGGCGTATCCTTTGCTGCTGCTGTTGCGTGTCGGTCGGAGGTTGGGAGTGCGAATCGCCGATATCCCGTTCTTCTGACTCCCTTTCCTTGTCGGCGACGCGTAAGTGGGTTGGTTGTGCTGGGTAGATAGGGATTAGGAATTACGGGGATGGAGTTAGGTTATGTCCGATATACTTTAGTTACTATTATTCCAGTTATGGGGTAAATAGGTGAGTAGGTTTGCAGTGGTGTGTATTACCATGGATGAAGAGAGGGAGTGAGTGATTATTAATGCTTCTGTCAGTTTTGTCAGAAGTTAAGGTTGTGGTTAATATAGTTTCAAATCAAGATAGTGTTTCGAAAATGGGGACCCCGTAGGGATACGAGGACCACTGCTGCTGCTGTTGTTATTCCTGGGGATGGTTAGGTGATGGATGATAAATCTGGGGGTGATTAGTTAGGTGAAGTGGTCGGGATATGAGGTCAACACTTTCTGCTTCGTAATGTTTGTTGGATTTGTAGGGATCTGATGTCGTGACGTCAATCAGGATCAATCCAGACCTGGCTCTCTCTATTCTATTGTGTGTTGATCATCATCGAGAGATAGTATCTGGACGTGAATAGGAAAATGATATGTGTTTGTTCTAGAATCAACAGTCGTGGCGGATCAGACCGTCTGTATTATCATGATGATGGTGGTGATGATGATGATGATGATGGAGATGTCAGTGTGGCCAATATGAATGTCAAGATCATTGTTTGCAAGGTCAGGTTGATACGAGCGAGTCAAGGAATGATGTGGACTCCTGTCATTGGACTCCCCGTCTGCACAGTCCTTTGCTGGAGCGAGGGTGTGGCAGTAAACAAAGTTCCGGTGTTGCTATACAGGTAGGGACCAAGTATGGGCGCTGGCAGCCTGAAGCCATGACAGCGGTAGCGCCCTCCCGGACGCCCCGAGGCAGTGGTTGCGGGTGTGAAGATACTAACGAGTCCAGAGAGGTGGTTGATGTGGTTAACATTCATTGTCCTTCCCTGGCTTGAGTAAGCTTTGGCTGATTAACCTTCACGAGCAAGCCTCGAGCAGTTAACTAGCTAAATGCAGACAGGCTGAATCAGGCACTTGGTAGGAGATCTCCGTCAGGTCCCATCCCTCGTATTTCTGTTTCGGGGAGAGCTGAATGCCATGTCAGATTCTCTCTTTCTCTCTCCTCCCTTTTTTGCCCCACCGGCTGGATCCAGACGTGGTTTGAGGGAACACAGTGACATTCCTTGACACGCTGGGCGTTTTCATCATGGACTGGTTGCTGAAACTGGCTCGATCCAGACAATTCATTCTGTACGAGGGAATTGCGATCGTCTCTTCTAAGAATGTTTATTACTATTATTTGGTTATTGAGGGGTGAGATTATTGTTCTCAGCTCTGTTCTCTTTAAGGAAACAGACTCGATCATCAACTGATAGTATCACATGACCCACTAGCCACGATAGTTGCTGACTAGTCTGCTGCTCCCCACAGAAGTCCCCATCGAGGCTGTGTAGATACTAGTAGATAAGTGTGAGGTTTTAGATAGACGACAGATTAACTGATAGCAAACCAAGACCAGCACGTTGATTATCTTCATGATAATCCAGCCCCCTCAACACGATTACGTACGATTTCCGCCCCCATACTTTCCCAGTTAGCGAGACGACCTCGCGAAACACAGCCATCTCCTAATACGTACTCAGCCAGCCAGGGGGTGATCATCAAGTACTGCGGAGGCGGAGGCAGGCAGGCAAGCAGGGCGTCGCCAAGAGCAAGGACACGTTTGTCGCTAGCGGTCAACCCTCACAGATGGAATCAACACAAATAGCCCAACTCGGTAAGTTAGTTAGCTACCCAATTTTTGCGGTGGTGCCCTTGATCCTCCCTACGCGATCAGGGATACTTTGCCAAGCCTGGCTTGGACGTGCGGCTCTCCGCACAGGCAGACAAAGCGCACACGCCTATCATATTGTGATGGGCAGGCAGACTTCCCCGGACTCTACTACTAGTCGGCTTAGCAGGCAGATACAAACTGATTACTTGTACCTTGTAGGCACTGATCAATTAGAGGCGTGAAATGTGGCAGCCTGTGGGAACTTCATCGCCGAGTCCTGGCTGGCTTACGTGGGCTTTGCAAAGGCTGCCAGACAGAAAGAAAGGAAGCGAGATTATGCACGCGTACTCCATACAGTACGCGATATCCAATCCATTCAGCGAATTCGGAGGTATCAAGGGAGTGAGCAAAAGCAGGCAAATGTAAGTAGGTAAGATAGGAAAGGAAGGAAGTAGGCATAACTCCGTGCCCGTCGTCGTATTCGCTTGGCTAGTTAACCTCCCAAGGTACACGCGCCTCGGCCCTCGCGAATTATTGACCACCGCCCGGGATTACTGCTTCCGTGCACAGGTCAATCAATCCCTTTCCCCAATTGTATTAGCATTAGCTAGTGCAGTGCACGCACTTGGGTCAATGTCAATGCTCTTGCTTGCCAGACGAATACGCTCGACGCCGTAAACTTTCTTGTTATCCCTCGGGTCACAATCAGAGTGCATGCTGCTTGCTGATTATTATTCTGCGCGACCGGAATACGCGTCTACTTCCACGGTTGGTCACTTGGTATACATCTCGCTCGGGAACGTCGTTGTCCCCGAGGGTGGGGATGTGACTGGTGTCGTCGACTAGACCTATTGCAGTAGTGAGGCTGGCCAAGTTAGGGGACTCCTGGTTCTGCACCGCGAGCTTATGAATCGAGGATGCTGATTTCAAAGCGGACAGAAGTGTCATTACTACAGACTACACAGTGAGTAGGTATGACGAGCTGGCGCATTGACCCTAGGCGGCTCATTCAGAACCAGCTGGCCCCTTTGGTCCCGTGGAAATAGCAACCTTCACGGATGATGGGAGAAAGGGAGTAAGTACAGTTAGTAATTGGGGAGTCTGGCATGAGACGGAGCGAGCGATGACTGGGCATCTGCTGGAATTTTCTAGGCTTAGAAGCTCCCGTCAGCCGGAAATAACGGCGCGGAAAGATTGGTCATCCGACGCCCCGTCCAGGGTTTTTTTTTATTTTCATCCCAAATAATTCTATTTTTCTTTGCTGGGCTGGGCTGAGCGGTGATCGTCCACACGGAGTTAGCGGGCGGAGCCTGGCCGTGACTCATTTTTAGGAGTGATGATTGGGTCTGGCGAGGGGCGGTGAATTAACAGTTGCCTTTTCGAGCGAGGGAAATTGGCCCTGGTGGATCCGGCACCCTCCTTCCGATCCACGGATGGGCATCGATGGTTTCTGCCTCCGAAGGTCCGATTCCATATCCCTTCTAAACCCCGGTGCGTGAGAAAAAAAAGGTAAAAAAAATAAACTAAGGTTAATAATGGAGATAGGATTAGAAAAACAGAGAAAACACTGAGTAACGAAAAAAGAAATCAGCAGGAAAAAATTATCAGCCTAGAAAGTGGATATATCATATTAAATTGGTCCCTGTCTCCCGGTTGATCACTTTTTTCTTTCCCTACACAGGTTTACTCAAGTACATACACAGTACCTATTTCCTTCCTCCACATACATACTACATACACTCCCATCGCTTTAGGGTGACCACCTCAGACCGACTCTAGTACTGCTGTGCACCATCCTACATACGCACACAGGACATTACTCAAACCACATACCTCCAACACATCCGCTTTCCCCGCCACTACTGCTGCCTCATCCTGCCTGTTGTTGAACAGACAACCAGTGGAGACGCCTGAAGGAGCCAGGAACGGACGACGCATCGCTGGTCTGGTCGCGCCCATCCATTTTTTGCGCCGACATAGTGCAGGGAAACTATCTATTTTCCCATTTCCCATTTTTGACGCCGGAAACGAAAAAAAGCGGATCAAAGCGTAGTCGCGCCCCAAGATAAGGCGTCGTGATTTATTGATCCGCCTGCAGTCAACCTTGACTCACCGCCCCGCGATCTCTCCACCCGCTGATTGGCCCCCAGCCTGAGCGGCCGCCGGAAAAGGGAAGGCTGCCTGAGTCACCGCGCAGAGCGAACGAGTCACCTTTTGGCATTGAGCTCATAAGCACATCAACACGGTCCTCCCGGACACTTTTTTTGGCACCATGGCCTCTCGCTCTTCTTCTACTTCTACTTCTACTTCTACTTCTACCTCTCCCTCCCCCCTTTCGACCTCCGCTTCCACCATCACTCCCAGTTCCTACTTCACCTCTCTCGTGCGGAGACGCCAACAAAAGAAAATGAGCATCACTCAAACATACTACCTCGCCCACACCGCCCGCAAGAAGCTCACCCGGGAAGCTTCGCGGGCAGACCATGACCTCCGCCTCCTAGTTGGCCATGCCAACCTTCTGGATTCCCTCATGCTGGAATTGGCCGATGCCGAAAGAGAACAAGAACGTTGGTTCAACCAAACCGTCAGCGGAGTGACCAAGACCTCTTCGCAAGGTTCAGAATCCCGACACATCCAATGGGCAGAAACCGTGGTCGAAGACCCCGAGGAAGACTGGGATCCCGAAGACCTCTCCGACGCCGACTCCGATGTCAGCGACTCCGACTCCGACTATGATGAAGATGAATATGAAGATGAATCTCACATCTACACCCCCGTGCGTCGGCGGGCCCCGTCACCTGTCGCCATCATCACCGAAAAGGAAGTGGAGGAGGATTACGATTCCGACTCGGACTCGGACTTTGAATACGATGACGCGGAAGATTTGGAGGACTTGACCTTGACCCGCTCACCCTCCCGACAAACCCCTCCCGACTTGCTGTCGGACTCGGATGGGGAATCAGAAGACGACACCATGCCCCCGTCGCCTCCCCAACCGACACTTGAAACATTCAACGAGAAGGAACCTCAAACCACAGAGATCCCCCTCTCCCCTACGGATCTTGACAATGGGTATTACGTCCCTGGCCAGGCACGCAGCACAATTATCGAGGCGTACTGACTGTGCCCTGCCAATTGACGACCACGTCAATGTACCATACGTGATACCCCCATTTATTGATGAATTGTTCTGGAAAGGTTGATTATGTTTTTGGGCGAGTCGCCACCATCATAGCGGGTCCGGCGTTTTATTCTGCGACAAGATAAAAGGAATTCTTTGGTTGGGCATTCTGTTTTGGAGACTACTGTTTTGCATTGTTCGAGATCGCATCCCCATCTACTGTTTTTGCATGCCCGAGCGCTTGGGCAGTGATTCTCTACTCTTTGATTTTTCCTTTCTTGGATCGATATGGTCCCCACAGTTAGGCCGCTGGGATAGACGGTCGAGAACATTATTTTTTTTGCTTGTCCTCTTCGGAGGCAATATGAGATGAAACCCCATGATGAATGAATATCACATTACAAGAAAGACCAACCAACTCCCCATAATACTCCATAATAATACCAATAGATAAAGTAGATAGAGAGATATGCTCATCATCAACAACACCTTCCTGATGAGATTTGATCTTCACCGTAGATTAAAGACCAGCCCACATGGCCGCCAATAGCCGATTGATAGATGGATGTTTAGTCCGTACCTGGTCTCCACTTTCTTGGATCTGCGACTACTAGTCAGTCAAGGTTAGGCCTCTCGCCTGAAATGAAGAAGACATTGGGCGACGACTGTGATTGTGCAAGTCCGACACTTCGCCGTCTCAACTCCGCTGGGCCAGAACCGGGATGGCAGTGCCGATCGCCCGCGCCATCCAATCCACTCCTCAGCTACACTTTTTCTCCCTCTGCTATGTATCTATCTCCATCCAGACCCCAACTTGTCAACTAGTCATTGAGCACACCGCCCCGTGATGCATCACATGGGCGATCGATCCCGCCCGGCGGATCATCACTGCCGATCCTGACCTTCAACAACTTTCATTTACTTGCTTGTTTGGTGAGGGAGGAGGGTTTCCCGTGGTGTTCCTTGAAAAAGTCTACTTTGTACTCTTATCCCGTCCGTTCCTTGCCCGGAAGTTTCGGGTGACGGATATCCATGGGTATCCCATCACAAGAGAAATGTCTGGGGCTTCTCCGATCATGTGAACTTTCTGGTAGAGTCTTTGCCGGTCTCTCCGAAAAATTTTGCACTCATGGTTGAACTAGACTAGACCCTGAAGAAAAAAAGAAAAAGAGAATTAAGTCGCCGTTGATGTGGGTCAGTCAGAATCAGACTATTTATTCATATTTTACTCTAGATAGGAGAATTTATTTCCCTCATGATGGGGCAAATGGTTAGTTTAATTCGCGTTGCGAGGGGGGATACAGCGTACGTAGTAGTTGGGCAGATATTTGTTTGGTATTATTGGATTTTTCTCCGTGATAGTAATTTTTCTTGATGTCGCGATATTTAATTGACCATTCAGGAGGGTTGTGTATAGAACGTTTTGCCGGAGGGAGGAGGAGAGGAGTAAAAGAGAGGGGTAGTTTAGTAGCTGGTGGTGTTGTCTGATAGCAAATACTGTTTACTAACTTGCCAGATGCTTGTCCTCCTGTGTGCCAATGACTCTGTCCCGTGGATGCATTAGTCAAACCAAGCCATACTGCCATACTGTCCAAGTAACAAACTAACTAACTATCTTGTCAGTTATAACATCATTGAGTAAACCCCTCCTCACCGCCCTGCCCCGCTTTGGAGGATCTCCTCTCCTTTCCGGCTTTTGTGCTGCTTCTCATTCCTCTTCCGGCTTCCGCTCCGAGTGACCATCCCACTTCTCCATTCTCCATTCTGCTTCCTTCCATCCTCTCACTGACTGAGCTATCATCTATCCATCTATCCATCTACCTGCATCCACCCGAGCCTCCCTAGCCAGTCCCCCCCCCCCCCTGGAGCTCACCATCCAAGCATAACCTGCCCGGGGAGCTCTATCCTGATAAGCCCCGATACTCTGTACCGCCAAACCATGGTCTGCGTCTTGCGCATCGTACCACTGGCAGAACGTCTGGAGCTTCACGGTGGCTGAGCAACTCTTAACTTTAACTTTGTTATTCTCCGCTTGTCAGTCTCTATTCTTTACAACCAGGCTACATCATCAAACAACATAATCTCCGATAAGAAGTACCACCACCACCACAACCTCTCTTCCACCCCCTCACTCCCAAACCCACCCGGGCGCATTTCCTTTCGTCATGTCATTTCCTTCACTGGACGGCAACGAGCCACTCCCTGGCCGTCCCAGAACCGCTTCCACCACGCGAGCTTCACGTGGAGACTCTAGGAGGAAATCTATCTCATTTAATATCGGCGGTTCCGAATCCCTGCCTCCCAGTCGCTCGGCAAGCGTCTCGGATCGCAGGCGTTCGCCTTCCCAGGTGCCTACGGAGAGGGAGGCTAGACCTGCTACTGCTGCGGTTAGCCGCGGTCCATCCCCTCCTCCGCCCAAGTAAGTGCTGATACGTCCTGGTCCTCGTTGACATTATCGCTAATACGGTGGCTGCTAAGGACCTACGAACGGGGCGTCTCCTTCGATACATTTGATAATCCCGACGCGGCAGATTTCTCCTTGACACTGAATTACAAACACAAAGGGTACCAGAGCACGCGGCGCAGTCGGACATTTCTCTGCGGTACAGATCAGAACGATTATTCTGATTTCGCGCTCGAGTGGCTCATCGATGAGCTGGTGGATGATGGCGACGAGATCGTCTGTCTCCGTGCGGTGGAAAAGGACTCTAGTATCGCGAGTGATGCCGCAGTCGAGGCGGGAAAATACCGGAAGGAAGCGGAGAAGCTGTTCGAACAAGTGATTCAGAAGAACACCCAGAATGAGAAAGCGATCAGCTTGGTTCTGGAGTTGGCGGTCGGCAAGGTTCAGGACATCATACAACGCATGATCAGGATCTACGAACCCGCTATCCTCATCGTGGGCACGAGGGGCCGTAATCTAGGTGGCATGCAAGGATTGCTGCCAGGCTCCGTCTCGAAGTACTGCTTACAGCAATCGCCGATTCCTGTTATTGTGGTGCGACCTACAACCAAGAGGGAGAAGAAGAAAAAGAAGCGTCTCGCAGACCCCACCAGGCGCAACTACAATAATATACTGGAAATGAGTGAGCGACGAGGGAGCCACATCTTCGATAGAAGCTCCAGCAGAGACAGCAGTGTGTCAAAGCTGCCTGACGAGGAGGCTGCCGTGGCCGCTGCTCTCGGTCTGCCTTCGACATACACTCACTCACGGAGCTCGCTCTCCACTTCGGAGCGAAGCAGCGTCAGTCATGACGAGTCTCCCTCGCCCTTGGGCTCACCTGATGCTGCTTCCCGTAGCCCTCTTGGCGGGAGCGTGGAGAACTCCGAGATCGACACTGGGTCAGATGATGAGCCTACCGTATCGCACGAGGAGAATCACAGCGACGGAACTTTGTCGCCAAAACAGCCGTCTGAGACGCAAGAGGTCCCTGGATTGTCTGAGGTCGATGCAGGCGCATTTACGTCCAGCATGAATGTCCCTCTTATCGTAACCGAAGACACTCCTCCAGGCGGCACAGAAAAGCAAGATGATTGAGCGAGAAGAGGTATACCGAACACCAACCTGGTAACAAATACTTTGGGTCGTTACGCCCATCAACCCACACATACTCACAGATCACATGTTTGAAGATAATAGGCAACCAAGCCCTTCATTGCACGTGAGACTGTCCAACAGCTGTCACCTGAGAACACCTCGGGGTTCTATCACAGCATGATGGGCCGATGCTCACTTGGCAAAAGACAATTTCAAGAAAGCAACACGCTTCAAGCAGCGTGGATGCTGCTAGGGGCGACACTATGATGGTCCCCGAATGATCTTTCAATTCACATACATATTTCATCTTGTTCACTTAGCGAGTTGTCGAGTCAATAGAGCGCAAGCACGCCAGTGCACACACACACATACATAACCTACATATACATACATAGATCAAACTACCTGATCATAATCAACAATGTAAACTACTTATATGAGCTACTTCCAAGCATGCACCATTCCCCCCTCTAAAAGGCTTCAACTAGCATCATAAGTGTTCATTCCTACTACAGTACTACCATCTCACTCAACATAGTGATCTTCCCTATCTCCGTCGCCTCTTCAAACCAAATCAAATTAAACTAAGCATATCAACTAAGATATAGTTTAATTACCACTCACTCACTCACTCATAGTCCTTTACCTCGAAGACATACATACATACACACACTATCGATAAAGCCCAGAGACATAAATCGTTATGTTTACTATAAGGGTGGGGAACAAGTACAAGATACTAACTACACATTCCTCTCTCCTCCTTCATGGTTACTGATGCTGAAGCTACTATGACAAACAAGTAAAGTTGAACGAGAATGTAGGGGTTGGTGATGAGAACCAGAGTGAAAATTGGGCAATAGCTATCATACTACAAAGGCAGAGCCATCCAGCAATGGAATACTACTATCCCAACAAGCACTACAACTACTTCTCTCATCCAAGATATCAAAGCAAGATGTTATTATATTAAAACAATGAAGAGGGGGGGGGCGCTTAAAAGTATGTCGATGATCCGGGATGTCGACAAGAAAATAAGGTGAGTTGGGAAGAATATTGAGAGGAAGAATGGGATGGAATAAGGACCAAGAAGAATGGAAGAATAATGGGAAAAAAAAATAATAAAAAACTTTTCTAACGAGATTTTGTCTAAGAAAGTAGGAAGTAGAAAGAAAAGGAAGAAGCAACTGCAGGGACACTGCAAGCTATCGCCAGCAACACACCGAAACCCAGTGTAGATGCATCAAATGAAGAAGTGAAAGAAAGAAAAGAGGCAATAAAACAACGTGACTACTAAAACTTGTCTCTCGCATGACATAAGTAAAAACGTCGTGGCTAGCCTGCAAGTCCCGCCCCGGTGGTCGACGCTAGTTCTCTGCTTCTTTTTTAATCGAGAAACTGCAGCGTCGCTTCGGAGAGGAGAAACCGTCAAAGCTCTCCGGGTATTGAAAATGCATGGAAAAAGAAAGCAAGGAAAAGGACACATAGAGCAATACATGATATGATAGCAATAATGGAAAAAGAGGATGATCAAAAGCAAGGGCATAGCAAAGGTCACCATGGACACTCCTGCGAACCAAACCTATCTCGCTAGATTCAAGAAACCCCCACCTCCGTTATGGGTCGTAGCAACAGAATTGTACAAGAGAATGTCGGAAGTCCCCTCTATTTCCACGGGAATAATATGAGCGACCGATCTTTTTGGTTTTCGCCGAAATCATGGACGAGAAGATTAGGGAGGAATGTTCATTTCAAATCACATGACGGACATGGTCGTGACTAGGTGTCAAAAAAGAAGTGAGGAATTTTCCAGAAGAACGGAATCATTTTTCATTATCATTGCGACAGAATCTATGAGGCTTCCTCACCGTCCTT